ACAAGTGTATTTATGGGAGAGTATACTCCAGGTTTATTAGGGGGAAGTTCTATTCCTGCTCTTGTGCTATTTTTAAAAATGTCTTTACTTTCAACTGACAAGTAAAAGTAAACACCTCGGTGGGGGTTTGTGAGTTATGGTTTTGAGTGTTTACAGATGCACAGAGTACCTAGAACCTGGAGTACACTGTTATGAAGAATCGTATGTGAGTTATGAGTTGTCCCCAGGTGCTATAAGCAGAAAACTGTTGTTAGCTAAGGATCACCTCAAATGGATAGTACTGTAAGGAGAATACTGAGGATGAAAATGTACGAAGGAGGAAGGAAGAAGCATTTTTTCTTGAATGTCTCATTCACTTTGTATTACAAAGAGCTTTTGGCTGTAGGTGAGGGCACTTTGGTCCAAAACTTATTGGTAGAATCAAATAATTATAGAGTTAGATGTGACCTTAGATAACATATCATTTAATTTAAGCCAATACATGACTTGGCCAATACATGAATGTATTATATTTTTATAAATGGTCATTCCTTTGAACATCATTGGTAACAGGAAACTCACTTCTTAGTGAGGAAGTCTATTCCATTTATGTATAGCCCCAATCATTAGGGAACTTTCTCTTATGTTGAGTTGAAATCTACACCTGTATAAATTTCCATTTATTGTTATCAGATTCTATCCTCTTCATATAGCCTTATATTTTATACAGAAAATAGGAATTTTCCTTCATCTGTAAGAGCTATTTGTCAGAAGTCATGGTTAGAGGTGTAGCCTGTGGTTAAGCCTGGACTGTTTCAATTCAATTCATTTCAATAAATATTGATTATTTTGGCTTCACAAGTTTAGCTTTCTACAACCCCCAGGGCAAACAGGAGAGCAGAAATCATCCCCAAATAGATTTGTGTCCAATGTAGCTTATACTGGTTTGTGTCTATTTCATTTTATATCAGCTGCCTATTCTTGGCATTATCCAGACCACGACTTGGGTCCTGTATGTGGTATGGGGTTACCATTTTAAGAGGCAAGTAGACCTTTTGTAGAGGAGCAGAGGAAATTAAGGATAAATAAAGCCAAAAAAAAAAAGACCTATACAGAAAGGATAAGGCCATTTTGTTGATTTAGATCAGAAGGCCTTGAGCAGTGACTTAATAATTGTTTTTAAGCACAAGAAAGAGGATGCTGACCAGCTGTTCTCTATCTTCACTAAGGCCCAAACAATAGGAAATAGGCTTAAATTGCAGCAAATGAGACATGGGAAGCAGTTTACTGACGTGAAGCCTGTTAAACACTAGAAGAGGAACCAAGAGAAAATGTACAATTTCCTAATTTAGGGATCTTTAAGAGGAGGAAAGCAGTGGTCTGTCTTGGCTGGCTCTAGTACGATGTCAGACATTTGGACGATAGGACTGGGTTAAGTCCTTTTGTGCTCTAGGCAGTAGTATGAATTTGTCCACTGAGAGCACCTGGAAGCGTAACGTGTGTATTGCTAAAAGGGCATTTTGCGTTATCTCTTTGCTTAACTTTTTATCTTTCCCTTATGTCTAATAATGGATACGTTGTGGAAATATCTTTCACATAAAATATGCTGAGTATCTAAAATAAGTCACATGCAGTGGCATTATTATTAATTGTGTCTTAGTTCTATCAGAAAAAGAAATTCATAAACCAAAAATCATCTTTCCAGCTTTGCTGGTTATCTCTGCTTGATTAAAGGGAATGATACTCCATTTGTAAATGCATTTGGCAAACTTACCCTGCTATTGTTTCCATTATTTTGCAAATTACAGACATTGAGATGAAGGCTCTATAATTTCCTTGCTTTGCCTTTATTCCTGCTTGGAATACTGGTATTGCCCTGGCATGCATCCACTCTGCTGTTATTTCATTTGAATACGGCAAATTCTTTATTATGATTAACAAAGACTTCTGCTCCAATCCTCTTTGAATATCAGTCTGCTCATGGAGATTAGTTGATTTTGAGCCTTGTCGACTCCCTGAATCTCTCTGCTTCACTGATCTCAAAGACATTAGACAGCAGACAACCAAGTATTGCTAAATGACATGTTTTTTTGTGTTTTCTCCTTTGAATTTTTTTTAATACATTAGGAATTTTACCATTGCTTGCAACTTTATTTCCTTTCCCCTATTCCTACTATCTAATTCTAAGTGCCTCCCTCACTCATTGCATGATTTACAAAGGCTGATAAAAACACATGGGACATTGGGTATAACAGCTCTTGTTATAGACATTTTAGAATTTCTCTTTCCTTTAGCTTTGCCATTTTCATTTTTCCTCATGCAATCTATCTTTCCTGTGTTTGTTAAGTACATAGAATCATGAGGTATTGTGGCTTAGTCGATAGGGAGTTGATTTTTAGGTCTAGTAGTGCTGAGCTCACGTGTGAACCTTAAAATATCATGGCTTTGTGGCCCTGGACAAGTCACTTAGCTCCTCAGTACCCCCAGAACCTTTCTAGTACTCTAAGTGACAGAAGAGTGGAGACCTACCCTGGAAGAGGGAGTTTGCCATCAGTGACTTCCTTCACAGGGTGAAATCATAGGTCTGGAAAAAATAACAAGTCATCTGACTCTTTGCTCTACACAAAGCACCTCAAATATACAGTTTTCTGTCCTCTTGTGGCTTACGTCTATAGCCCACTTGCTCACCATTGTTCTAAAAACAGCTCCGTTTTCTTAATGCCTTGTATGGGATTCTGCATAATAAAATTTATTTAGTGGCTTACAAGCCCAAGTGGTGCTAATTTAATTTTCTCCCCCTGGCATAAGTCATATTTAAAACAAACTGCATTGAGTGAAGTCTACCAGATTCTAAAATGCATGATTGCATAGTACAGGGACAAAGACAGTCACTTGCCTAGAGACCTGGGCAAATAGCTCTCTCCTATTAACTCATTTTTTCAGTCCTACTCCAGGAGGCAGAATCATGTTGCATCTGCCAGTTTCTCCTAATTTTCCTAACAAGTTGTTGGAGAAAATGAAAGGGAAGTGGGGGTGGGTGGAAAGAGAGGTTGACTGAGAAGGGGGTGGTTAGGAGAAAGCCAGGCTTCATTCTATAACCTCACCCCTCTATTGACTTCCTGTATGGCTGAGGAACAATTAAAGCCCAGTATCCATAGAGCTTCTATCAGGCAGACAAACTTTGCATTTGTGATTCTCCTGCTTCTCTTTTCAAACCCTTTCCTCTTAACTTTGCTCCTCTCCCCATCCCAAAGACTCAGTTAAGGGTCCTCTTATGCTTGCTTCCCCTTCCTTACCACCCAGATCCCCTAGACATGGTGCTCTAAAAGGGTCTGCCCTTTGCAGAACCATGATCTGTGACTGTCCCTATGAATTTTTGTACCCAGGGCAAATACTATAAACTTCACTTACGACAAGTGGCACCAAAATAGATAACTTTTAGTTGAGGGAAATGTGGAACAGAGGAAGAGGAGAGGATTTCATTTCAGCCTGCCATCTGATAACTTCCTATTTTAACTAATTATTCTTGTTAACTAGATACTGAGTTCTATAGTTTCAAGTCCGAGGAAAGACTGCTAGCATCTCAGCACCCTCTAAATTGGCACCCTGGGTCAAAGCTCTTGTTGCTCTAACGTAACCGGCGTCTCTATCTTGTAATCTGCACCTCTTTTTCTCTCTCTCCACTCTTCCCTTTACCAAAACAAACTCGTCCAGCATTCTATTCTGTTCTCAGTCAGCTCTTCCAATAAATAAATCCCCATAAGGTTCTGACAATTAAGTGAGCATAAAGCAGACAGTGGCATAGTGGAAAAATTCTTAGGCTGAGAATAATGAGACTTGAATTCTAATTCTGGCTCTCTTAATTTACTAGTTATGGGATTTTGGGTATCTCACTTAACCTCTTGGATTTAGTTTTTATATTTAAACTACTTTTTAAATATGGAACTCCTGAGATTTACGTACATTTCAAAACCCCAGAAGAAGAGTGCGTGATGATTGAATTCCAGTAGATATGACAGGATAGTGGGGGAAATTTTTTATTGTGTTGAGTCCATAAGATCACACTGCTCAAGCTTGCTGGGTACCAAAAAATTATAATTATTTTAGCTCAATCAGCCTGAGATGCTGGGAAAACTGTGGCATTTGCCCATGAATCTCAACGATGATGTTTTTTTGTGTGTCTTAGGATGGCAGCCTTGATGCCAAATTGTAGCAAGACTCAGCCTCATCAGTTATTATTGTCCTAAAAATAAGATCCTTACAGACAAAATTGAAACTTTCCACCAACTGTCTCCACTCTTCTATTTGCACTTGTCTCTTGCTGCACTGCTCTAATGCGCAGTGTGGGTATCTTTATATTTCAATCATTTGTGTTGACTTGGAGTTATTTGTGTTTGCCTTCTCTTTTTCTTGTTGTTATTATTATTACTGTTGTTCTTGAGTTGTTTTAGTAGTGTCCAACTCTCCATGATCCCATTTGGGATTTTCTTGGCAACGATACGGGAGAGGTTTGTCATTTACTTCATCATTTTTCTAGATATGGAAACTGAGGCAGATAGGGTTGAGTGACTTGCCCAGGGTAGCACAACTACTAAGTGGCTGAGGTCAGATTTGAACTCAAGAAGATGAATCTTCCTGACTTCAGGCTTGCACTCTGTCCACTGAACCACCTAGCCACCACCTTGCCTTGTCTTACTGGTTAAAATTTTAACTTCTCAAGATCAGGGACAAAGTCCTTTACTACTTTTACTACTTTTATATTATCCATGGTCTAGAGGGCCCCTTTTACCAAGGACTCCAGCTCTGGGTGAGAGTGAACCTGTGTTCATTTCTGCGGAAGCCTTAGCCTTAAAAAAGAAAGAGATGCGGGCTATTTCTTACCCTCTGGCTCATTCACCCCTATTCCACCTTGTGCCAGGAAAATATTATAAACAAATCTTGGATGTGTCATATTTAGCATCTCCTCTAAAGGGATATTTAGGGTTCCTTCTAGAAAAAAGTACAAAATATTTTATCAGGTATAGGATAGTTATTTATTTCTCCCACCATAAAAGAAATGCTTAAAACCCAAAAGACTCATACAAGTGCATTAACAAGTCATAAATTATGATGTAGTAATCCATCACCTAGTATACTGTTATGAAAGTTAAAGGCAAAAATATTTCTCATTCACCTTAGACCTACACTGTGAAAGTCTTAAGTCCTGATGCCCTGGTAAAAGTAGGGCATGGCTTAGGTTTTCTTAGTTCTTTCAGATGCAGCATCCTCCTGGAAGTGATGCTTCTCCTCCAAGAAATGGTTCCGTTGTGGGAATCTGGCAGCCAGTACCCTCAGAAACTCCTAGCTTCTTGAACTCACAAGGTTACCGCCAGGCCTCGAAATGTGTCTTTCTCAGGAAAGCTGTCTGTGACCTGGGCTGAGGGAAAGTAAACAGACCAGAAGAAGCAGCCAGGGACTTCATGTTCAGGGATTTCAGGCTCAAACTCCCCTAGGCAAGCACACGTTCTTGCTGCCATGTACCTGCAGTTGCCATTACTGTCAGAAGAGTAGGGGAGGTGGAAGGGAAGGAGAAGGAACCCCTCTCCCCACCTGTAGCTTTCTAGACATCCTAGAGAGAGCTGGAATTGGTTTTATTCCAACAAAGAGGCTACCTTGAAGGAGAGAAGAAACTGTCTCTCTTTTTACTCTTTATAACCCATAGAGCTAGTGACTTTACCTAGCTCAATCTTCTTTGACATGCCTTCCAGTCATGGGTACCAAAAAGGGATTGCTGCATTATCCCAAAGCAAAGCACCTCTCCTTTAGCAAAAGGTCGCTTTAGCAAGAGGTCCATCTCCATGGATCCAAAGCACATGCTCCATGGGATCACTGCTGATAAATTTGTAACTATATAATAAAATGGGGCTAATGGGGTGCTTAGGAAGGATCAGCACCTCTGGTGTGAGGGTTTGCTGACTCCTTTTCAGGTCTGCTCATGCACCTTTGGTGTCCACTAGTGACTAAACTCTCTCCTGTGGATCCAAAAAGCTGTAGCATGCTCAGCAGCCACACTCCTGTAAAACCATCTCAGCAGACAAGCTAAATCATGTTAAGGGCAACTGAGAGACCTTAAACCCATCTCTTCTATCAGGCCACATACCAGGCTTGGATTGCATTGACTTCTCACCCTGGCCTCTTAGAATCCATAGATACCTTCAAGGTCTACCTTAGGTATTACTTCCCATGAGAAGCCTGTTCTAATCCACCTAGTTGTTAATGCCTCTTTCTCCTTCATCAGACTATCTTGAATTTATCTGTTTATATGATGTAGCCTCCAGTAGACCATAAACTTCTTGAGAGCAGGGAGTGCTTTTTATTTGTCCTTATTATCTTCAGCACCTAGAACATTGCTTTTCACTTAATAAGTATTTGCTGAATGAATGAAATGACCTTTGTCCCTATCTTGACTTATCAAAATGTTAACCATCCCTCAAGTCCTAGTTCAAATGCTACCCTAGCCATAAGTGATTGTCTCCATTCTCTGAATTTGGCCTGTATCCTGGACCATCACTTGTCATCTTGACTTGTATCCTGCCACTGGACTTCATGACCCTGGAAGAGAGAGCAAAGCTGATGACTTTGTGCAACTCTTCCTCGCTTAAATCCAATTCACTGGCAAGTCAAGACATCACCAATCACATCATGATGTCATTGGTCATCTTTGAGATGACTGATGAATAACAACATAATCATAATAATAAACACAGAAAACTGTTGGTTTTCTTTTTCTTTAATATTGTAGTGACCAGAAAGTCCCTGTTACCTAGCAATTCATTAACTGGTAGCTAACCACAGAGCATGCATCTCAGAAACCACATCTAGATTTGATTTGAGCCTACCTTGTAGATGCCATAAGAGTGGGGGGATTTGTCTCAGCTCTGAAGATGTGGAGCAGTTGGACCAGGCACTGAAAAGCTCACTTCCTAATAGAGTGGTCCTGAACCATCCTTGGATCTGAGGGCTGGGAAAGAGAGATCATTTTTAGATATTTCCCCTAGCATCTAAAAGAATGCACAATACTGTTGATTGACTGCTCAGATAGAGTAAAGAAGAGCATCTAGAGTGTGAGGCATGCTGACCTTGGGCTAGATTTTCAAGAGAAGTGTCAGATATCCTCAGGAGTCCTAGGAATGGGTAAACAGACATTTATCTCTGCTACTTTTGCCTTTGTCCTGCCTGAAGGCAGAGAAGACATGAGTATTTGCCACAGTGGATGTAATTTCTAAAGTTAGAGATCAGCTGCCTTTTCTTGGAATATCATATTAGACATTCGTGTGGACCCCTGAATTTTCTGATGAGGAAATGACAAGAAATAGGCACCACTCTCATTGCTAGCTTTTCAGGCTGAGCAGGGCTGACATCTGTAAACTGGAGGGCTAGATTTCCTTGTCAACATCCATTTGCCTTTCCAAGTCACATGAGTGCAGGCAGACAGTGATGAGTCATAGCTAAGTGAGAGCCAAATTAAGAAAATACAATCCATCTATTCCTTCAAAATTACATTTTTGGAGAAGGTTTTATTTCTCTCAGAATCAGCAAGAGCAGCCTAAATGACCGTCACATTACCTGATAACACTAAGTGGCTTTTCCTTTATTCATAAATAATCACTCAGGATGGTAACTTCTTTCTCCTTTACCAGAAAACCACCTTGAAATTTGGGAATTTGAACCTACTTAACTTAAATGGGCCTGATGTTCTTCTCTTACTTTCCTTTCATCACTTGTTTTTAATCAGCATAACAAATTGCATCTTAAAACACATCAACATCTCAAAAGATCACATTATTCTGCTTGCTCCCAGAGGCCAGAACCAGAATTAATGGGTAGAATTTGCAGAGAAGGAAATTTCAGCACAATCTAAGGAAAATTTTCTGGATAGTTATAGTGGTCCCAAAGAGAAAGGGATGGTTGGTTCCCTCATTGGAGGTCTTCTAATGGAGTCTGGATGGCCGCTTGCCAGGGAAGTGGACTTTTATTCAGGGATGGTTTGAATTAGATGACCTTCGAGGTCCCTTCCAACTCTGAGATTCTGTGATATTCCACAAAGGCAGGCATATTCTTCTGATAAGAGTTTGGACCAACTTATGATACTCCTTAAGATATCTCCTAGGCATATTCTAGTGCCAAAATCTACTCAACATTAGTAATGCTTCATAAATTGTTCTTGCAAATTAGTTGGAAAAAAAAAATTGATCCATAAGCTTCAGTGACCAGCTTGTTTCTCAAGAGGAGCACAGAAAACAAAATTAGTGAGATTAACATTCTGTCTTCAATGACTATCTTTTTTTTGCTTGTATTTATATCCCCAGCCTTTAACATAGTGCCTGGTACATAGTAAGCTCTTTATAATGCCTTTCTCATTTCATTGCTCATTTGTATTCACCCCAGGAGTGAGTGAATAGCTATTTGATAGATAGCTCTGCAGAGTCCCCAACTCTCTACCAGTTTTATTGATTTATTTCTTCATGTAATATTATCAGAGCCATTCTATCTCCTTTGTTGGTACGCTGATGTTCCAACACAGCTGCATCCACCCTTTTGACCCATAAGGCTGATTAAGGCAGTAGGAGAAGGGGGTTGACATCAGACAGAGTGTGTGGCATTTGAAGGCAAAAAAAAAAAGCTTTGTATTGAGAGAGACATGATGATAGCTGAGGACTGTCACCTTGTGACTAACAGTATTAGACTTAGGACAGTCAGGCAACACCACAGGGGTGTTAGCCTTTGGGGCATTTGATTCGGGCTTTGTTTCAGTGCTGGGGTGCAGGAACAGACAGGGACATAAAACAGGCCTCAGAATGTGGTTTATAACCCCCTGGGAGAAGAGATGTTAGGACATGTTCTTGTTTGCTCATGTAGTTACAACTGGAAAAATTGGTGACATTTCTGCAGCCCTCTCTAACCTAGTTGTGTTTGCTACTTGTGTCCATGATTAGGAGATCTATAATAAGAAACTGAATGTCCAGGTTGGCCCTCTCTACTGCTCTTGTGCTATGGCTGGGAGACTGAAGAGAAGAGAGGGGGACCCTAGCCTAAAAGAGTTTTGTACCTTCAGGGGAACTGGATATGCAGAGTTGATGAAAAGTGCCAGTGCTCTATCCATTGTGCTACCTAGGTGCCCTCAATGCTTCTACTTTTACTGTGCATTTAATATTCTAATTAAGCTGTGTGTTTAAATTATGACCATGAATGAATGAATAAGTAAATATAGCAACGTGATGGAAAGAAGAAAGGGATATGGCTAAGTAGATGAAGACCAAGCCAGAAATTGAATGTGTCAGGCTCATTCTAGGACATGACAGGGATGTAGCAGTTCAGGGGGCTGGGGGTTGTGGGAGAGTATAGGAGTGGCTTGGTCAGGTTTGACAGGGTAGTAGGATGAAGCCTTAGACAAAAGTATAAATATCCATCCTTATTCCTATCACATTTGGGATTTTGATGCTATCTCCTTAATGGAATATAATTAAGTACCCTTACTCTTGGAAACTCACTGGCAATGAATTCAGAATAACTGATTGAGACTTGGCTCACTTAGAATTGAGCTACACTCTTGGACTTGGACCTTTAAAAAAAAACAGACAAAGAATTGGAGAGAACAGACTGAGACCAGAATACACATAGAGAGCAGATATATTGCTGAGGGAAAGGCACAAAGTCCCTTATCTTTACAATCTCCTCTCCTCCCCCCATCTCCAGGAGTGTGCTGGTAAATGTTTAACAACCAGCTCTGCGTGTGTGTGTGGGGGGGGGTGGGACAGCAACTCTAAATCAATTAAACTCAGAGACTTCTCAAGGTGGAAGCAAAGGTTACTTTTTATTACAATTTCAAGAGAAGGGGCGTCTGCTCCCCCAGTACACTTCCAGGAGGAGAGAGGCAAGGCACAGAAAGCAAAAAGAAATGAGATTATATGTCCTAACACAAACCTCCACCCACCACTATCCCTTATTCCCATTGGCTGGGGAGGCGGGCTTACAATCTTAGGTGCGAAAAATCTTCCTATCCCATGAGCTGGGAGGCAGACTTACATTCTTAGGCTCAAAAATTCGAAGACAAAGAACAAGGAAACAGGGAATAGCCAATCCAAACATACATGTCCTTATTTAGTAAACCTAATGCTGACTTAGCAGTGGTGTGGTGATTAGGAGGGGATTTAGGGCCGAATTCCCATGAGTTAGGTTATTCCTAGGAAACCAAAATTTACTGCAATTTTCCCTTCCTAACCCCCTTCCCTGTTATCCCAGAGACAAGAAAAGGCAGCAGGGCTATTCTTTCTGCTAAGCCTTTAAAAAACAAAAACAAAAACAAACAGAGTCTGAGTGGGGGAGGGTTTTGAAAGCAACGAACAAGAAATATTAAGAACTATTGATCCCCTGAGGAGGCTTCACTTTTGAGAGATCATCTCTTACAGGGGGGAGAGGCAAATACCTTCCCAAGACCCACTTTTAAGTTTAATCTACATTGTTTACATTTTCCTGATCACTTTCTTAAATCTAGACAATCAATAAAATAATAAATCAAGCTCTGGTTTGTAACATTTGCTGATTTCCAAGGTATAAATCCTCCCACTGAAAATTTGATACTGGCTCTTCTGAGCTTGGTTTGAGCTAGTTACACCACAGCCCTGCCCACTCTTCACTCCAAGGAGAAGTGAACTTCTCTGCCCCAAAGGTAGCATCTATGGTAAAGCAATGTCAGAATGGTGGAAGAGTTTTTGAACCAAAGACGAGGAGGAGCCATGTGACTATGAAGCAGAAAAGGTTGTAATTTGGGAGAGGAATTTAGACAGAATTTGTCTTCTATTAGTATTGTGAGTTAGAAGGGGATCAAGTCACTTTCCATTTTTTGGAGAGCCTCAATCTTTTAAGTCTGGAAGACCATATAAGTCCATGGGTGGAAGATTAGGTCCCCTAAGAGAGGGAAGGAGAATCATCTTGAGTATCTATAGGCTCATATACGATTCCTTTGCATTTTGCATTTTCTGTGGGGTGAAATAAAGCTTGCCCTGCATTTCATGTGGTACTAGCCTGAGTGCTTACGTGGACATTCTGGGTGGGGGTAAGATGTCCCAAATTCTGATGTTTCCCAGGGAAATATTTATTGAGTGCATGAACCTAAGAGAGTGGTTTGTGAAAAGCATTCTCACAACTGAATCTGACCAATTAAACCCAGAGCTGACATTCTAGGCTACAGGTTATGTAGTCCTTTATACACTCCATTTATTTTACATATGGAAACAGAGCTCAAAGAAATGAAGACGTTTACCCAAGTTCCCACCGTGAGTAATTGTCAGACTTTGGGTTCATACTCAGATCCTTTGCTTTCAAACTCAGTCCTCTTTTTACTACACCTGGCTGACTCTTTCAAGAGCAAACTGTGGCAGTGATCCCCAGTCCTCCAGCCATCTTTAGCATGCATGCTATAATCGCCAACCCCTGCCTTGGAACTGTGCAATAGTTTTCACACCTGTCTTGTGTTAGTCATTTTTCAAAGGCTAAAGATGGGGGAAAGGACTATCATAAGGATAAGTTGAAAAGAAAGAAAAGCATACAGAGAAGTGTGCAGCAGAGAAAATGGAATGGGTCCTTCTCTAAACAGGCTATCATGTAGATTGGAGGGAAGGTAGGGACTGAATACACTTGGTTATATGGGAGGGAGTTGGAAGAGAGGGGGTGTGGGAAAGAAGGGTGTGTTTTGAGTGTGCTGAGAAATGGGAGTAAAATGCTGACTTGATCGTTAAAATCAAAGCCAGTAGACTTGTTCACACAAAATCATCAGGCGTCAGCCCAGTATCTTTGTTGGAATCAGGGTTCTGATGGACAGCTTGTTGGTAGATGGCCCACAGCTCACAGCTGACTCACTGTCTCCAGCATGACTTCGCAAGTCTCAGCGTCAAGACGAAGGCTTATTGTTCACTAAATGGAGTGACAGATGGATACATGACCAAACCTCAAGACGAAGAATCTTTTTGCCTTTCATTTCAAGGAGTCTCAAGGTATGATATATAAACTGGGTGAGAGTGCATTTTAATTCTAGAGAGAAGCAATCTGGCATATAATAGATGGTAGGTAGGCTAGCCTCAGTTAGGAAGACCTGCTTTCAAGTCTTACCTGTGATACCTACTGGCTGTGTGACCCTGGGGGAGCAAGTCACTTAACCTCTCAATGGCCTCAGGTAACCTTTCTAGCACTTGGTCTTGGGGGAAATTTCCATAACAAGGTATTTTCTACACATTAAATCCAAGTTTAGGCCAAATCCCCTTTCCCCCCAATTCCTAGTGACTGGTCCATTTGAAGTGTCTGTGATTTATCACACTCAGACAACAAAAACAACCACCTCCCTCCCTCTATTTTTCTCCAGGAGAGGGAAGAAAAGCTGGCCAGAAACCTACCTCCTAATTAATTACCTCTTTCCTTGCTCCGAGATACTACAAGGAAATCATTGAAATGCTTGTTTTTGTGAAATCACTATCTCTCCTTCAAAGACAGTTTCTCTCTGCTGTTTCAACTCGGGTCATGATCTCAAGGATTAGTTACATAGTAGACCCCTTTAAAAAGCCAGGGAGTTACAAGGAAACCCAAAACAAAGCCTTTCCTGGAGACTCTTTAGAGAAGAGAGCAGAATAATAGGAAGATTATATTGTAATTGCTCAAAGGGAATAATAAACTTCTATTTATTTATAAAGCAACATTTCTTAAACCACTGTTTCAAAATCAGAGCATGATGAATGCTTCTGCCAACCAGTTCCTGCTTCATCCTATTCCCCCGTCACCCCTAAAAAAACCAAAACAAAAACCAAGCCCCAAACTCACAGAGCAGAACAAATTGAGTGTTTTTCGTCCAGCCAAGTTTTTAGAGCTTCCAATTCAAAAGGGCATGTCTAAAGTTACTTACCCTAAGACCAGTAAATCCTGAGGAGGAAGAAGGAAGGAGAAAGTCAGCTCACAGTCTCATTTCTTCTCAGCTAAGTGACTGTTTTTGCTGACCTGTCAAATTAGAAATGTGCTCCTTCCTGACATTTCAGACATGGCTTTGGCAAGTATTTTGGAACAGGAAAGAGTCCTGCTTGCTCTCCAAATACAGGCCTCTTAGGCCCTGATTCTCTCAACATGCATTCTTAGCTTGGAGTGTCCCCAAATGACTGAAAATTGGCAGATTCCTTTTCATTAGCTCCTCACTAAACCTTCAGGGGCAGGGAAGGGGTTTTGCTAAAGACTTGGCTCAAGTCTGTGTTAGAGAGCTGGCTAGTTACTCAGAGTTCACTGAGTGAGACAGATGCTGTGATTTTGGGTTTCATTCCATTTGCTTGGCAACTGAATAAAACAGAGCAGGACTAGTCTGTCTTCCATACATTGGGTCCTTCTACTTCCCTCCAGGGAATGTTCACTTATGATTGCATATAATTTTATGTTTTTGTTGAAAGACCTTTGCTGAGTGAGTATGACGTCTCCTAAAGGCTCTGGCTAAGTAATGATGGTGGTGATGATGATAGCATTTATATAGTACTTTAAGGTTTGTAAAGCATTTTGCATACATTACCTCATTTGATCCTCACAACAACATTGTGAGGCAGATACTTTTATTATCCCCATTTTACAAGTTAGGAAATTGAGGCTGAGCAAGGAAGGTTAAATGACTTTTCAGGGCCACACAACTTGTACGTATCTGAGGCAAGTCCAACTCAGGCCTTCCTGAATCCCACACGTTATCTAGTGGGCCACCCAGTTGCAGAAGTCTTGGCTTCTGCGTCATGATCCATTTCTGTCAGTCTGAAAACTGTAAGCCCGCTAAGAGATGAGCAATTGTACTATACACTTTTTCAATAACAAGCAGAAAAAAAAAAGACAGAAGGTTTAAAAAGCTTTCCAGGAAGCAATGTCAGACTAGATTAGGAAAACTCAGCCAATTAATGTTTTATGTTTTTAATTAATATTTTGATATTTATTTTGAATCAAATTCAAATATTCCAGATAGATATTTCCCTGAAATATTCCTGGTTGGCCTATGACTGATATCAATGGTCCCACCATGACCAAGAACATTTCATTATTCTGGTTGTGTGTCCTTTTGATGCTGATATTCATGTTGCTGTTTAATAACATTACTGCCTCCATCCCATACAGTGCTGATGTTGCTTCACTGATAATTCTTGTTCTGGCATTCAGTGTGTGAAAATAAGCTCATTGAAAACTTCATACATACTTTAAAGGGGAGTTAAAATTCATTTCAAGTGCACTTCTTTCCTCTGTTGTGATAGGATTACAAGATCAAAGGTTGAAACCTGGAGAGTATCTTAGAGATCATCTAGTCTAAACTCTTCAGGAAACTGAAGAGGCCCAGAGAAGGGAAAGTATGTTGTCCAAGGTCACATGACCACAGAGCCAAGATCTGAACCCACATGCCCTTTGATTTCAAATTCAGAACATATTCACATGGAACCAAATTTTATAATGACCTCGACGCAAAAGTGTGCGTGCGTGTAGGGGTGTGTGTGTGTGTGTGTGTGTGCGTGTGTGTGTGTGTGTGTGTGTGATTATTTCATATCAAGAAGGATTATTCAGGGGGCAGCTAGGTGGTGCAGTGGATAGAGCACCAGCTCTGGAGTCAGGAGGATCTGAATTCAAATCCGGTATCAGACACACAACACTCACTAGCTGTGTGACCCTGGGCAAGTCACTTAATCTCAACTGCCTCACCAAAAAGAAAGAAAAAAAAGAAGCTTATAAATAAAAAGAAGGATTATTTAGGAGTAAATTCAAGAACTGGATGGGGCAAACCTGGTGGAGAACATTTGGGTGAAGGTCAGTGGAGGACCAACAAAAGCAGTTTTGTCATTATGAAATACTACTGACCACTTAGAAAGAAGAAACAGTGCAAGGGCTGAGGGAAACATTACAGACCTGGCACTGATGCATGACATAGTGGGATGGGGGACTTCAACTGTCCAGATGTTTGCCAGAATTCTCTCTTCTATCAAAAGCATATCAGCTAACAACTTCTTGACTTGACTTGATGGTAATTTCATCCTTCAAAAGAGAAAGGGGGAATTTTATTATGAATCTGATTCTTATCAACATAGAACTGGCTACTAGCATGAGAATGATGGGAACCTTGAGGAAAAGTAACCACTCTCCTCTAAAAGGAGCAGTAAAGTACTCAATGTATAATGTAGATCAGGTATTGGACAGCTTTTTATTTTTGCTCCACCAAATAAATGCAAAAACACAAAAAACTCATATATATTCATTGACAAAGACATAAAACAGGAAACACTAACTCCATAAATCTTATTATGCTCTTCTAAGAAGCTGATATTTAAAACATTAAATATTAAAATATGAACATCTAAGTCAGAGGTTCCCAAATTTATTTGGCCTACTGCCCCCTTTTTAAAAAAATTTCTCAATACCTCCTGGAAATCTTTAATCCTTTAACAATTTTTTAAAAAAATAGAAATTTTTTTTAAAAAGTGACATCTAAATTTAATAATTTATTGTAAATTTGTGGGGTTTTTTCCTGCACTGAAATGTTGATGATGCAATATTGTATCATGTAACCATATAGCATTATATTATAAACAAGTCATTACACACACATATTCTTGATGATGCATGCTGGACTTCTGGATAATGCATGACACACTCACCTGCCAACACCTGCTTGTTAAGACCTGTTGGCGGGCTTGACCACTGATAGTTATAACTTGCATTTTGTGTGTTTATTTGGAAAATAATGTAATCACTGTGACTTTAACTCTGTTGTACAACAGATGAAATATGTACAGTTTTTCAAAATTTTCTTATCTATTCAACACACCCAAGGCTATTACCTTCCCTCTCCCATCATCCCAGTGCCCCTCAGGGTGCAATATTGCCCACTTTGGGAACTTCCCAATGGTACAGCTGAACAGATAGCTATTTCACCTTCACCTTGGCTCAGCACTCTCTGCATTGTCCCTCAAAGTCCATATTTTCTAGCAAGAGAGGGCATGGCTTAGACTCATCCTCATCTTTTCCAAGAAGCATTATAGTATTGATAAAAAAAAAAAACTCCTCCAGGTTCCATTCAGGATCAGTGGAGGAACCTGGGAACTTCCAAATTCATGAGGCTGTTGCCAAGACTAGGAAAAAAATATCTCAGGATTTCTATTCAGGCACTTGTGCTCAGAGAAAGAAATGCAAACCAAAGGAGACAGTTTGAGGTTTGAGGTTTGAACTTCAGTTTCAGGCTCATCTAGGCAAACATATGTGCAAAATACTGTGTGTAGGCAGCATCATTGTTACCATTTCAGATCAGGCAGGAGCCCTTCTTCTCCTTCACAAGAAATCCAAGATGGAGGTTTAAAAAGTTCTTGAGCAGGCAATAGCTGCAAAGAGGATAGAATGTCAGAGAGCCTCTATATAACCTTTGACAACATCTCCTCCTGAATACTGTCTTCTTCTAGGTGTTGGGATTTTTTTTTTTGTGGCACTGCTTTCTCTCGGTTCTCCTTCTACCTGTCTGACCATCCCCTTTGCTGACTTTTCACCCAGGTCACTCCCCAAGGCTCTATCATTTTTCCTTCTATACTGTCTCACTTGGTGATCTCATTAGGTCCCATGAATTCAATTATTATCCCTACACAGATGATTTTCAGGTCTATAAATCTAGGACTTGTCCCTTGTCTAAGCTCCAGACCCACATCACCAATTGTTTTTTGGACATCTCAAACTGGGTGTTCTGCAGGCATCTAAAATTCATCAGGTCCAAAAGAGAACTCATTATCTTTCCGCTCAAACTGTTCCCTCTACCTGACTTTCTTCTTCCCAATAAGGGTACCACCATCCTCGCACCCAGACTTGTAACCATGATCTCATCCTCGATTTGCCACTTGCTCTCATCACACATCACCAATCTATTGTCAAATTTTGTTGTTTCTACCTTTACATCACATCTGGCGTGTGTGTTTTGTTTTCTTCATTCACACAGCCACCACTCTCATCACTTTTCACCTGGACTATGGCATACAAATATCTTCTAATTGGTCTTCTTACCTCAAGTATCTCCCCACTCCAATCCATCCTCTCCTTAATTACCAAAGTGATTTTCCTGAAGTTCAAGTCTGACCATGTCATTCTCTAACTCAATAAACTACTACTAATATAATGATGTGATAACATTTTAAAGTGCTAGCACAGTACATGAAATACAGTAATATAAAAATGTTAGCTACTTTTATCATTACTAAATAAACTTCCTTGGCTGCCTCCCTAATACTTCCAGGGTCAAATATAAAAGTCCTTTACAATCTGGCACCCTCCTATCTTTGCTCCTCTCCACACACTCCACAGTCTAGCTACACCGGTCCAGTTGCTGTTCCTCAAACATGGCACTCTATCTTCCAGGTCCACATATTTGATTGACTGATGCCCAGAATGTTCTTTCTCTTAACACCCACCTTTTAGCTTCCCTGGCATTCTTTAGGATTTTGCTTACATTTTGCCTTCAATAAAATACTTTTTAGGTCTCTCCAGATAATTGGAAGACCACAGCTAATTCCTTCCCTCTGAGATTATCTTCCATTGACACTGTATTTATCTTGTATGTATCTAGTTATTTCCATGTTGTCTCCCCACCTAGAATATGAGTTCTTTGAAGGGAGGGACAGTGTTTTTGCCTTTCTTTTTATCCCCAACACTTAACACAGTACCTGGCACATGGTCAGCAAATACTTGTTGACCAATTGACAGGATGCTGAAGTTCTTCAACATGCTAAATTTCTTTGTGTGTTCTTCAAGGTTTATAGGAGCTCACTCTCTTTTCCCCCTGTTACCAAGAACCCTGCTCAAGATTCAAGATATTCAAGATATTCTACTTTAGACAAGCCCTCATCCCACAAGAAACTGAGTGAATCAGTCAAGAAGCATTTATTAAGCACTTATATGTAAGATATGATACTAATATAATATGATACAAATAAAGGCAAAAACAGCCTCTCCCTTCAGGGAGTTCACATTTTAATGAAGTAGAAGAGATGTAAATAACGAAGTATATCCGGTGGGAATCAGAAAGGCTTCCTACGAAAGTTGGGATTTGAGCTGAGTCTTGAAGAAGGCCAGGAAAGCTA